ACCATCCTCACCTGCGATTGCCTGCTTCACTCTTAGCTGACTAAAACAGCTCCTGTTGATAAACACCACTAACACCTCATATCTCTCTCTTCCATTAGCAGAAAGTCTCCTGTCCATTCTATTCATCAGTGAGTGCCCGACCTATCACCTCCTGGTGAAACTGCTTTCTTGACATCCCTCTCCTTCGTTTGTGATGGTGCTCTGGTTGGCAAATTCTTGAAGTCCTGTAGAAACTGCATTACTAATTTTCGGACTCACCGGACCATCCTCCACCATGATGATTCCAAGTTGACTTAGCCTCACGTGTGATGAAGTTCAACCTCAGGGAAAGTACATTGTTGGCTGTACTTTGTATACGTAAACAACTAAAGGTGAGAGAACTCAATAGTTCTTCTTCGAATTCGATGATGACAAAACCTTGTCGAAACGTTGTACATTTGCGTTGTACAATAGTTCTTCCTTATCTGATGCTAGAAAATAAAACCAATACGAAATATACTCAAATCCCGAATATTTTGCAAATTAACTAAGGGAACAGAGAAAACATGTTACTTCCTGTATCACAGATTCACAGTCTAGCACACTAACTACTGGGTCATTCCGGGGTCTTGTTATTTGGTATGTTAACTACATGTAAAAACCGAGGTTGTCTGTCCTACTTGTAAGTCACATGTATGTGGTCTTCGTTTCGTTTGTTATGAATGTGTTCCATGTTGTTCTGTTGCGTTTATATACAGTCTATTCGAAAGTTGCCTTTTCAACAGCTGGCGTTAAACCCAAATTAAAGTCGGCATGAGAACAAGACTAATATGAGGACGAAGATAGGCTAGTGTGCAAATACTACATTTTTTTACTCCTCTATACCAGACCGCCAGAAGAGGAAGTCCGTTGGGTACCGTTGCACACCTTTTTTTTCCAATGGAGGACTGCTGGGTATTAAAATATTTATGAATAGGTGAAAAAAAACACCCAGGCTATCTAATAAAAATAACCCCGTGAACAGGAATATTTGATTTAGTAGAAACTACATATTGTTGTTGACGAATGAGCCCTCTCGATAGTAAAATTTTATGTACAAAATGACCTAAAATATATTAACAATAATCAGGACCAACATCTCTGCCCCACAGCGGTATGCCTGTGGACTTACAATCCGGGTTTCGATCCCCGGGGGGGGGGGGCAGAGCACAGATAGCCCATTATGTAGCTTTGTGCTTA